ATTCTCCACAATTCAGTTGTTCGGTTCATTTTCCGAAACAATGATCACCACAGAAGAATTCATCCAGATATACCGGAATGGTAAACTACAGATATGAATATAAGCTTTTGAAGCAAAAAATAACAAATAAAGGCCCAGGCTATTAATAGATTTTTTATGGTAGTGTTGTAGTACTCGAGACTGGTCTTGGTCTTAAGACCAGTCTTAACACCACTTTTTGATGATCTTGGACTTGTCTCGGTCTCGACCGCATTTGTACTCGGTCTTGTCGATGGTGGCGATGCTTACGTTGATTTCAGCTCTTAGTGTTTGTATGTGGGTGTTTTAATGGGAATGTGGATCTTTCAGAACAATTTGAGAACTACCTATGATCTTGTTCCACATTTTATTGCCTGCCATGCAATGCAGAGAACTGGTCTTGGTCTTGACTCGGTCTCACCCTCCCTTGGTCTTGGTCTCGACTGCTCTCAGCCCCTAAAAATCTTGGTCTTCTCTCGGTCTCGATAAACTCTGGTCTTGGTCTTGACTTGGTCTCGGTTTTGGCGGTCTTGACTACAACACTATTTTATGGTATTTGCACTTGTGATTTTCAAAAAGACCTATTGGTCATTTTTTTAAAGCTTAAAAAATGCCATGCCAACTTTTCCAGCCACAACCCATGACGTTATGGCCTCTTTCACGGTAGCAAGGAGTTCATTCTATAGCTAGGTTTAATAACTGAACAAATCAAATACATTTATTGTTTACTGGAGCCCTTTAAGTATTTAAGAAGCCTCATTTCGTTGTCCAAACATAACACCTTTTAGGCACAAACAGATTTGTTTTTTTACTTGTTTCTGTAGAGACTAACAGAACAGAAAGGCAGTGCTGATCTGATTTGGTGACACTACAACTACTTTGGGGCCAATCGGGGTTCAGTATGTCTCCAGTGCTCATACTGGCAATAGACTTTACAGTGAAGTTGAGTTTCCAATGAGGGAAAAGGAGCAGAAGAATTTTTTACCACTTATTTTGAACTTTTCGTGGGGAAAACCATATCATAGAGTATTTGTATATGTCTTAACAGTGGTGGAGGAAGTATTTAGATAATTTACTTGAGTAAAAGTACTAATACACACTGTAAAAATATTACCTGTAGAAGTGTGGCATTAAAAATGTTACCTAATACAATTATGTAAGTATAATCAGGAAAATGTACTTAAAGTATTAAAAGTAAAAATTAATCAATGCAGAAAACCATTCCCTGTGACTGTTATTCCATTACATATTATATCATGAGATTATTATTACTCAAAGCATTAATGTAAAAGCAGGATTTTACTGCTGTTGTTGGTTTAGGTGGAGCTCATTTTTAACTTTTGTTTCAGACTAGAGCTAATGATTATTTTCATAATGGATTAATCTGCTGATTATTTTGATTGTTTGGTTTGTACAAATTGTGAGAAATGCTGTCACAATTATCCGAGCCTAAAGTGACACCATCACATTTACCAACAGTCCCAACCTCGAAATTATTTAAAAAAATTGAAATTCTTAAAATAATTAAAAAGGAAAAGCAGCAAATCATCACATTTGAGAGGCTCAAACTGACATTTTTGCATGAAAAATTACCATTGTCAAAATGACTTTTCTGTCAATTAATTAATCATTTCAGATTTGTTCATTGTCATGTTTGTAAAGTAACTAGAGCTGTCAGAAATATGTAGTGGAGTAAAAAGTACAATATGTCCTTCTGAAATGTAGTCGAGTAGAAGTAGAATGATTTACATGCAAATAATCGTGCAAAGTACAAGTACCTCAAATTTGTACTTAAATAAATGTAGCCTACTTAAAATATTCAGAAGGGGATCTTTTATAGTGCGCAAAGGGTGCCTAGCAAATTAATCTAGGATACCTGCAGGAGTTCTAAACAGAGATAGATAGATAGATGGATAGATGGATAGATCAGTCCTCAGGTGGGGCACAGTGAGCTGGTGCTGCCTCTCATGAACAGATGGCGTCCATATTTCCACATTTGTGCACTTGGCAGTGTGCTGACACAATAATCTATCTTAGTGGGCAGAAGGACACCACACTGTAACCCCTGAACACAATGTGCATGGAAGGAGCACTGTACACACATTTGCAAATGGGGCTTATAGAATATAGGTGCTCCGTAATATCCGTAAAATTTTTTCATCGCTTCTCCCGCCCACACAACTTATGTCATGTTAAGGCACCTAAAAAAGATCACTGTCTGGAAATGCCAAACAATGCACAAAACCAACATTTGTCTGTACAGTCGGTCTAATTAAACAGCTCCAGAGCACCTTTTCATTACTGGAGGTGGTGTGAGTGGGACCAGTCGCCCCTGAATCTCTCATATCGTCTCTGTAAATGTAAAAAACAAACATTCAACAGACAAGAGCAGAGAATCCTTCGCTACACCAACATTTTATTACTGTGTAATAAAGGCACATAAAAGTTAATCTGCTTTGAAAAACCAGCAGGGGTCAGAGATCAGCAGATGGCAGACTCTTGTTAAACGACGGACATTTACACAAAATTAGAAAGGGATCATTGCTTGATGATGATGTCGCATTAAACATACTGAGCTCCCAGCAGTGAGCGTGACACTTTCACAGGAAAAATCAGCTAACAGAAGTCATAGTGCAACAGTTCATCATTATGTGCTGCAGTCATTCTTCTGAGCAGCTGAACAATCCTCGTAAAATGTTCTTAATTCAACCTAATAGTGGTCTGGATAGTAATTTGAAATCAATCCTGAACCACTTGCTAGTCCACTGTTGCATCAGTCAGGTTTGTAAATGCTCATTTTAAAATGGAAAAATGGATGCTGAGGAAGTTTGTATGGTTAATCATCTACTTCATTTTTAACAAGCTGGCAGGCATGAGGGAGACGTCTCACCTCCGTCAGGATTGAGAGTTCTGCTCTGGGATCTGTCAGCGTTGATCTGTCCTCCAATGACTCACCATTAACAACCTGCTGCCAATCAGGAGGGCCTGACTAAATCAAGCCTAGCAGTCTCATCTGTGAGTCCTCCTGGGTAACCTGATACAGTAACTCGTCCCCTCAGTACATATGAAGGATGTTATATGCACACACACACTGTGAGAGGGGGTAAAGTAGAAGATGAAGTTTGGGTAAAAGGAAAAACACTGCAGGAGCATCAAGTAGAAATAATACAACAGAAGAATTATTAATGTGTTTATTCTCCTTCTTTTTTGATGAATAAGTAGAGTTGTCATAAAGTAAGACAGCAGTTTACATAAATACTTTAATACTGCTTGCTGTGTCTACTTGAAACCCCTCATCAAAAGGCTGGTTGTGAATGTGTCCTGTCCATTCAGAAGTATTTCAAAGAGAAAATGTGAGAAAGTAAGATTACAGAAAAACTTTTTCATAATTAGGTGCTGCCTTAAAGTGGTCATATTACGCAAGGGCAACTGGACTATTCCGCTCATTTTCAGGTTCATAATTTTATTTAGTTGTACCAGAATAGGTTTACATGGTTTAATTTTCAATAAACACCATATTTTTGTCATACTGCACATCGCCCTGCGTTTTGAACGCTCCGTTTCGTTTTAGCTACAGAGGGAAGCATCTCACTTCTATTTGATCTTCGTTGAAAGTCTTGATGTCTTGTCACCGTGTGCTGCAGCTCAATGTGTTTCTCCACCAGGGTTTTTAGGGTGTGCCCAACGAGCTGCTAGGCGAGCATTATGATGCGTGTTACTAATAGTGACACAGATAGGTCACGGGAGTAAAGGCTGGACTACAATTGAGCCGTTTTTGGGCAGTTCAGAGCAGTGTTGTCTGTGGGAGATGGGAACTCCCTTTGGGGTGGACTTTGGGCTTTTTCACTTTGCCAACCTGTTACATGCACAAGAAAGATATATAACACAATAAAGGAAAGGGAAAAGGCCAAAAAGCATAATACCACCTCTTCAGATTCATCTTAGGGCCCATTGTGGTTGCCCCGACTCCCGGGTTGGTAATTACCAATAGAATAAACCATGATAAAGTTGAAATCTTTAGCATTACCATGAAACCAGGATCAGCTATTGGCTCGATCAGCCATTTAAGGAACTAAACGCATTACAGAGATTGCGACAGAATAACACAATGCAAGTCAAACTATAAAGGCTGTCACATTTGTGAAGAGCCTTTACATGACAGTTCCAATACTCGGCAATGCATCTTTCCTTTAGCTCTGCAGCCGTCTTCAGAGAGCATGTTGAACTGATCTGAAACACGGTGACCCTCTGAAATCCCACATGGAAACACCACTCATGCTTAGCTCCTTGCCGCAGGTCACCGAGTAGCTAATGGAGGCGAAGTCCTCAGAGCAGCAGTGCCGTCTCATCCTCAGCTGCATGACAGTGAGAAAATGACAATGAAACGTCCAAGCGAATGAGAGACAAACATGAATATCAACACCCATTTATGGTGAACACAGCCCTCAGATCTCTGTGACTATTTGTGTCAAGTGTGTTTTCTTGAGAAATCCTGAGTCTTAACTGTTGTAGTGATTTCTTTATGAAGGCATGAAGGGCGTTAAGATAACCCTACAAACTGAAGTGCCAATGCTGCAGAAAAACAACTACGAACTACGAAATGTTTCTTTTCAGCTGAAAGCGTCGGGCAGGTTTCATGAGCCTTAAAAGAAGGTTCAACATTTTGGGAAACATTTTATTTGCTACCTTGCTGAACTGAGAGCTAGATGAGAAGACTGACACAACTCTTATGTCTGTATGCTAAATATGAAGCTGCAGCCAGCAGTGGGTTAGCTTAGCCTAGCTTAGCATAAAGACAGGAAATGGGGAAACAGCTAGCCTGGCTGGGTCCAAAGGTAACACAATCCACCTTGTCTTTTTGCCATGAGAAGGCCAGGTATGTCCATAAAACTACAATGTGTTGTTTTTATACTTTTAGTACAGAGTACACAAATGAGGTAGAACATATTTTATTAACACGTATAAGTTAATAAGTGCGCTTTAGAGGTGCTGATAGGCAGATTGTGTTACCTTTGGACAGAGCCATTCTAGTTGTTTTCCCCTACTTACAGTTTTTATGCTAAGCTAAGTTACTGGCGGTAGCTTCATATTTAGCATCAACACAAGGCAAGAAAGCAAGTGCCCTCCCCAAAATGTCAAGCTATTACTTTAAAAGCCAGTCAAAAATGTGTCTAAAGATAAGGACACCTTTCATTCCTGATGGTTAAGTTGCAATCAAAAGCTATGCAAGAAGCTGCCACAAACAATGTTATAATAAATGACCAATAACAAATAACAGATTATTTTGGCACTCTAGTGAAGTTAACATAAAGGCTGCAAATAATGCACGTCGCCGGAAAAGTTCAGCTTGCAAAGTAAAAATAAAAAACACTTAACTTGTCTTATCCAGGGTGGGAGTGTGAATCTCAGTTGTCTTTAAACCAAGCTGAAGGAATTACTCTGAAGGAAAATGTTTACTAAGAAATTTAAAAGCCTCAACATTACATGACTGAATGAATTAATCCACTTAGCCCAAAAAATACTATCCTAAAAAAAATGATTTCAAGGTCGCTGATAGGAGAGTGGATAAAGTTACACGCATCATTAAAAAAAGGGAAATTCTGTATCAATAACTTATCAATACTGAAGCACCGGAGTGTGTCGACTTAAAAACTAAGAGGTTAGGGAGAATTTCTCTCATTCAGTTATCTGTTCTCTTCTGTCATCAGCTCAGCTGCAGATTAGACTTCAGGTGCCCTTAAATAAGCACAATAAATCATACAGACTGTGACAGAGTCACGCACACACCCATGTTTTCTCTTTTTATTCAGTGATAAATAATTTCCTATGATCATAGGCTTTATGTGAAGACATCCGATCAAGGCAAGAGACAAATTAGAGGGCACACATTGCCACCATTAGAAAATAATAGCAGAAACAAAAACAATGAGGTAAGAAGTTTCTCTTTTTTATACAATTTGTGATGCTTCTATTTCTGTTACCTATACTGTTGAATGCACAGTGCTTCCTAATACAGAAATCCTGCCTTCTGTGTCTGTACATTATTAAACAAAAACAGGTCATGGAACAATACTGAACCAACCAAAGACAGGGCACTGCAGAGTGTATAGTTAGCAGTATACATCATCAGACCGAGAGTAAGAAAAGCTGAGCAGGAAACAGAAATACAAACAAAATAAGACTTAGTGACTGAGCTCCGTGATTGATTCCACACACACACTTTTTTCAGGAGAGATCAGAGTATCAGTAGGTTGTATGCTCCCCAAATTTTTATGACCCATGTCTATATGTGAATATGTGTAAGTGTTAAAACGGGTAGTTGATCAATACAAAATTAACCTGCAACTATTTTGATCTCTTCATTTCTTTAGCTCTGATTGGCTGTTTTGCTTTGTCTCTTACATGACACATGAAATTGTAAATGTGTGGGTTATGAACTGGTCTTGTGACAATCAAAAATTAGTTGAGGGACAGCCGTGTTAATGTCAACTGTAAATGGACTTTAAAATTGATGGATAAACCTGCTCCAAATGTCAAAGATTTTTGAGTATACTAAATGTTGAATAATAGTCATCACAGATGTCCATCAATCTACTTAGAAATTATAGGGGAAAAAAAGACACCCTTCTCAACTCCAGAACTTGCCTTAAAATCATCATGTTTTTAAGTTTTCTTCAGTATCAATGTAATCCAGTGTTAGTTGTCTGTACATAAATGGGTACATTGTAAACGAGAGCAACTAATATCTAACTCGGCATACTTAATGGTGCCGATTTGTAAAAATGTGAAACAATATAGGCAAAAAAAAAAAAAAAAAGATAAAAAGGATAGTTTTCGGTTAACATTTCCCAAAGCCCCCAAATTATGGGAGCTGTAGATCCCAAAGAGCATGATTATGGGCCAAAACAGAAATCACCTTAGGCATCACCTTGAAGGAGGCAAGATCGCCGAAAACTTCAGGTGAGGTGCTAAATAAAGCATGGTTTGCCAGATAAGAGTCGCGTGACCTGTCTTAATTTTGCGGTACTTGTAGTGAAGCTCACATTGATCTGTTATTAGCACATTCTCTGGGGATAATTATTTTTGTAATTCATTACTCTAATCAGGACAATAATAGACAATGAAAAGAATTGTTAGCTGCAGCCCTAATGTGAGTATTTGCAAGGTACAGACAGTGTGGTAGTGGCTGTACGTGCGCGTGTGTGCGTGTGCGTGTGTGTGTGTGTGTGTTTGTGTGTGTGTGTTACATTCACGGGCCTCAGTGGCAGCACACTGAGGCACAGCCCCATGCATGGACCTGACCTGCAGTCCCAGTGCCTTCACTGTTGTACAAAACAAGACAAAAAAAACACTCCTGCTTCTTTCCAGTCCAACATTAAAGGAGAATACCACCAATTTTCAGCATTCACATGTTATTTTCCCACCTTAGATAACTTCAGCTTCTATCTATAAAAGTCAATACTGTCCGCTATAATTAGCGATATACGTGTTCATCTCGACCTCTCAAAAATGAAACACCACAGTGACGTATGCTTTTGAAAAATACTTTCACTCAACTTGTGGCAGTACTTAACAGAATTAAGAAGACTACTACAAATACACAGAAGTGTGCTAATGTTCAGATGATTATTCTCTAAATTCACAGTCCTCTAGTTATTGGCAAAGGATGTGTATCAGTGTCATGGCTTTCGCTTGGCAAAAAAAGTTGTCTATACTCACTAATACTCTGTTGCTGTCCATATAAATAACATAATGCAAGGTCTTACATTGAGTGGCATTCTCCTTGATGATACTAGACCTCCTGGTCTGCTGCCCAGGGAGGTCACCCCTGGTTTGCTACCTGCTCCAGAGCTGCAGCTGATTGGAGACAAAGAGGCGTCACACCTGCGCCTTCCTCTCGCCCACAGCTGGCCGTGAGCTGGCCCAGACAGCTGGTCTCACAACTGCTTTCCCCAGCTCACACACCTGGGGCCTTGTGAAGTGACAGGCGAGAATAAACCCTGCTCGAAAGCCAAGCTGGCAGAATTTTAAAAAAACAAACAAACAAAACAGTTCCCCTCAGAGATTCATTCAGTAAACCTCAATTACACTCAAGCTACTTCAGTGGAAAGGCGACGGGGGAGCGAAGGTGGAAGAAAAAATAAAATAAAAAGAACACAAATTGTACAACAACAGAAAAAAAAAAAAAACCACACAACTGAAATAGCAAAGAGAAGCCAAAAATAGTAACAGGAGCGGTCATGATGGCACAGATGTGTGCTGATGGCGGCGGGCGGGGGTCAAGTCGAGGAGCGGCTGGTCCTCAAGAAATGTGCGCCAGCATTGTGGCCGCAGTTGCCATGACAGCGGCACATTAAGCACCCTTTTCCAACAGAACAACAAGAAAGAGACGGTCATATTTTAAATCAACAGTGGCAGGGTGCTGCGACGGCCTCAGCTGCCCTCTCTCACACTCTCCCCCCACCCCCTCTTTAGTGTTTTGTTCGTTTCCATTTGTTTAGTTCTTAGGTACTCCGAGGTGCTGCGGTCCCTTGACCAGAGACCGCCCTGTTTCAGGCTTCTGGACAGAGTTTGTTGTCTTTGATTTTCAGTCATTGTGTGTTTTTGTAAATCCCATAACATTTTCAGAGCCTCCTGGGGTCAGTCCAGAGGCGGGCAACGGCGAGTCCTCAGCCTGGGAGGCAAACTTTGCCTGCAAACAGAAGTCCCACTATGGTGAAGAAGATGGAGAGGACAAACAGCACGTAAGAGGAGCCGACCACTGTGTTGTTGGGCAGCTTGTACGGCTGGCCTCCCACCTCGTTGATATAGAAGCCTATGGGGAAGATGAGCGCCGCCATGCAGAACAGGATCACTGGAAGGAAGGAGCGAAAGAGAAAATGTTAGTTTACAGTTGAGATTCTGATGAATTCCAGGTTTTCATGAGTTTTAAGGAAGGAATAAAAGATGGGAGACCTAATGCAGAAAAAGTCTGACCTCAGGCTACACTTTTTACAGCCTTTCTTCTCCAACAAAGATGCAGAAAATTAGGAAGGAACTCACTCAACTGCTCAAATTGAATTCAATTTTTAGCAAGTTCATTAGTGGCATTCAATGGCGCCTTTCAAATGCTTTAAAGGAGCAATTAGACAAAGCAGACTCATGGTATGCAGCGTGATTTTTTTTTGGAATATGAGAAAATCAGTCCAGTGCACTATGACACAAAGTGTTCTGTAATGTGGCATTTATGTAACTTTAAATGTTTCAACATTTCATTTAAAAATTGGTTAAATGTCATTGATTATACATTATTCTGACAAATGGACAGCAACAGGAGTCCAAGCAAAAAATCTGAGTGGCTCAGCCAAAACCAAAATTTGGCAGTATATAATTATTTTTTCGCAGAGTGCAGAAATGACAGACTCATTGCTCACTTTACAACAATGCAGAAGCAGTAGCACAAATCATTGTGAATACACTCATTTTTGCAGCACCGGCAGATGTAACTGAACAAAAATCCTATTAATAATCTTGAAAATTACGGTTGGGATCAAAGACGATGTCTCTTCTCCCCACACAGACACACTCACACACACCTACACCACAGGTAAACACCCCGGCTTGCCCTGCCTTTCTCAGTCTCTCTCCCCCCGTCTGCTCCATTTTCTCCATCAGCAGTATGTTTTATAAAGTTGCCTAAAAGACTGAGAAATCGTTTTTTTCTGTATATTTCCACTAGCGATCAGTTATCACGGCAGCAGGTGAGCCGCATGTCGGCTTATTAATGACGTAGCCTATCAAACAACTTAAACCCACATCTGCACCCTGTGTGTGTTCACTGCTTCTTTTCTCTGGTCCGTGCATAAAATATCCACCATGACGTAAGTTAATAGTCTACCAATTCTTTTTACCGAGTGAAGTCTGTGCGAGAACACATGCACATAAGACGACTGCACAGAAGACCCCCGCGCACCCGATGACATCGTCCATCCCAGTGTTTCATTGTAGACATGGTCCGATGGAAACCCTAGTTGGAATGTTGAAGTTTCCTGTGCATATCTACTGTCAACTAACAAATAATGCCTTAAAAAACAAAATAAACACAAAGGCTTAGTTGAACAATTTCAGAAACAACAAGCATGCAGTGTTTGCTGGTATGAACCTGTAAATCCATCATCTACTGTACACACAAGTACACAAATACAAAAACACACAATTTAAAGTCAGGGCCAGAAATGCACACAGCAGATCAGAGTCAACAGCTCTAAAAACCAAGAAATAGATTTTATACAGGAGCAGAAAAACAGTGGAGGCATCAAACATTGTTGTGTTTCACTCACAAGTGCCTTGATTCAGTCCTTGTACTCTTTCAGATACAATCATGTTGATTATTAATATGCGACCCCAGGCCTAATTTATAAATAACTGCTTCCCTTCTGTCTTCCACACCTTTCTCTACAATTCAAATAATTTCCGTGTTTACTTGCTACGTTTGTCAGTCTGTTAAGTTGTTTGCATGTTTCCAAGTTTAAATTACAAAATCTCAGAGTACTTGAACGCAGCATTCCTCCATACTCACAATGTTTTAGAAAATCAAAAAAAAAATCCTTCAGGTAGGAGGCATTTGTTCATTTCAACTTTGAAGTTAATTTGAAGTCAGGCTTTTCTGTGGCTTTAGGCAATTATTTATGGGTAAAACTGTATCATTATCAAGTACCATCCTTGAACTCAACACATATGTACAGTATTTCTGACACTGCTTGAACGCAGCATTAGTTGCACGTATAGAATCAGCAGTAAAATCGCTGAAAAAGTTTGATGACATTTCTCCTTTTAAAAAGGTTTAAAAAAGCTTTTTTCCCCTACCGGTTTGACTTCTACTACAAATTTGCAGTAGTAGTGATGCAGGCGTAGTAGACCCTTCCGTCAGTGGAACCACACGATTGGCTTTTTAGCAGGAGGGGCGGGACAATTGCCATCTTTGGCGTTACAGGCTTTCCCTATAGAGTTGTATTGAGCATTCTTAAAGGGGACCTATTATGCTTTTTCACATTTTCTGGCATTTCAAAAATGTTACAATGTCAGATGTTCATGTTAAACATGGCCAAATCCTCAAATGATGAGGTAAAAGTATTTAAAAGAAATCACTGAGCCAAAACCTCAGATATCCCCCAGTTCTGAATGCTCTGTTTGAAACTGTTTTTCTAATAACGGCTTGGTATGATGTCTTTCCGAGGCAGATTTTCATATATGCTCATTTGCTCAGATTAGGTTTGATCCCATAGACACTCATCAATTGAGCCAAGACAGCTGTTTGACATAACTTCTAAACCAAATACATAAAAAAGGTCCTAAGGTATTCATAAGTTTCTGACTCTGATAAAGTGGGAAAAACAATTCCCTAAAACTACTGTATCTCTGAAGTCTCTCAAATCACATACATGTAGACTATTCTATATGATCTCCTGTTGATAACTATTTGTTATAATCTTTATAACATTTCACGACGGACAGTTATCAGATGGATTATCAAAACTGATGCAGCAGAACCCAGATACATCGTCTTTTTCACCCCCACACATTGCTTGTCCTTGTCAAAACCTTGCACCTACATTACCCACAATGCAACGCTACCTCTTATCGTTTGGTTGCAGAGTCAGGTGTGTTATGCTAGTGGACTCAAGCTGCTTGCCTCAAGCAGAGATGAGGAATGGGCTACAGAAGTCTGGTAAGGTGACTTCTTTCAACTCCTCACCCCTGTTTTTTTATTTTATTTTACGCATGTGTATGACAAAAACTTCACAGAGGGAAAGTACCCCTGTAAAACAGTGAGCATGGTATGAACTTCTGGGCAGCATGTGTCAGATTTGTTAACAGCTGCATCACAAAGCAGAGGTCAGGGGCAAAGTTATTACGAGGTCTTATCGTACTCCCCAGAAAGGAGGCGACCGTGAATGGATAACAAAGTTGTCACTAATTAGCATGGCTCCCTTTTCTTCCGTTATCACTGGAGATTTTTGGTCAAGCTCCGAGTCCACTTATGTAACACACAATGACGCTGATCACCAAAGCAAACTGTGTGACTTTGTGAATCGCAGATCAATGGCTGTGCGGAGCTTGTGAAATAGCTTCATGGACTTAAAAATAACTCTTACATTCAAAGACCACAGTCAGATGTCTTTGGCAGCATTGTGAGGAAAATGTGACAGGTTATGTTACTAGCGTGTGCCACAGTTACTTTAAACTACCTTAGTTTTTAGCAGAAGTAGTAGTACTCCAACACAAGGTATGACAGCTCTTTAAAGATAACTGAGGCTGTGTTGAATTATTTTGGTTTCCTCAGCGGTGTGTGATCTACTTGGTGACAGAACATGAAGCCATTTTTAGCTTTCACAGCTTCACTCCATCCTGCCAATTAGCAAAGTTATTCTGTACCTGAGGGACGATTTTACTTGAAAATCTCACTGATGTTGCCTTTGACAGTTTTGTTAACCAGAACGGTGTCACGCAGCTGGATGAGTCTGTAGTTGTACAGTAATCTGGATATTGGGATTAAAAGACATTGAATAGCTGTCTGAAAATCAATATCTAAAATTCACACCAGTGATTAATATTAGATCGGGCGTGGGCGACATGAACAAAATCCTCTCTAACTGATCCAATAAACAGACAGGAATATTTGTTTTGGTTAATCTAGCAATTTAAATACCTGACAAATCAAAGTGCGTAATATAATTTTATATAAATCCTAATAAAACCAGAGATATTCATGTGATGGCAGCCACGGTATGAACGATATATCTCACAATATATCTCGTCAATCGCCCACTCCTATATTCCATCTGAATAAGATTAACCAAGTGTGACATTCATGCAGCAATTTCATTAACTAATAAACTGGTTTTGTAGTATCATGGTGCCATTAGATTTTTTTGTCAGATTGCTGCATTGCCCTCCGTACTTTCTTAAAAAAAAAAATAAATAAATCCCTTCTTTGTCTGACATGTAAGCATTTATACACTGTTTAAGATCCTGATGTCAGTATGTTCAGAAACAGTCCTTGAACAGCAAAAATAATAATAGTAATAATCAGATGCAAGTAGTGCAGACTCTCACTGGCCAAACATCTCCAGCCTGTCAGCGAGCATAAATGAACAATATTTGGTGTCGCTGGCATCACAAGGAGCAAATATTTATGTCTGTTGTTTTGCCTGCTCATTGTGAGGGAGGGTTGCATGATTGCAAAAGGATGCTGTGAAAGGTATGCTAAAGTGGAGCCAGAAAACCGCGGCTCAGCATTGTTCCTGCAAGCTTAACCAGTGAGTTAATTTAAGTGCACCTCACGGTCCACTGCTTCTCTTAAGTGCATAAACTGATGACAGACGGTGCCTTGCTCACCTGCTGCTGGTCAACCGACAGCATCTTGGATCATAAATAACATGCTGCTATTACAGTGTAGTACGGTAATTACATTTATACTTGAAAAATATTTGCAAAATGTTATATAATCTGTAAATATTTTGACAGTTAATTGTTTGAGTCCTTTTTCATGCAAAAATGTAAAAACGATTTAGTGTCAATTTACTCTTTAAAATAAGGTTTCTGTTGTTGGTTTCTGACCAACCATACATTATCATTTATTTTGTAATTTCATCTTTAATTACCACATTTCCTGCAGCTACTGTTAATGTATTGTTTTTATATTTATTATGACCCAACTCCAACTCCACCCCCACAGATGACTGTCACACCTTGGGGGAACACTGCTGGTGTGTGCATATAGCGACACAGAGGCGGTTCTGTGCTGGTTTATACAAAGCGGTCCATTCAGGTACCGGTGGCCTGGAGCCAGTTAGACTAAAAACTGCCCACCTTCTCTCAACCTTCATCACCTGTTTGCCCCGAATGAACCACTCCCAGTCTCCTTACAACCAACTTCACTTTAATCTCCCTTTCCATGTGCGTCTTTACATTGGCACCCATCTCTTACTTACTTATACTCTCTGCTATTGACCTGTAAAAACATGATTATTCACTCAGCTCAACTTCTTTACTCAACTCTTCTTAATCCCCCGCCAGTTTCCTCACTTAACCTCTCGCCCTTCCTCCCACTCGACCGACAGCAGAGGGGTGTTCGTCATCACAGCTAAAGTTAAGCAACATCAGACGGACAAGAAAAAGAAATATGGTGTGGTCCCATTTTTGCCTCTTCGTCCCTCTCCTACACTTCAAAACAGGCTACTGGGGGTCCTAAAACAGGATGAAGTGATGATTTACCATCTCTTCTCTTCCTCTTTCAACAAACCTGCTTATGCTTTAATTACGATCATTATGCTTTAAACCCATTTAAAAATATAAAAATCTGTACTAATGATATACATCTCATCTAATATGCCCGACAGAAGCATTGCAGGGGGACAAGGGTGACAATTGCTCACTGTTGCCATGGCAATCACCTTATTTCCCTTTAAATGTGCTCGTTAAACAATGACTCAACGGCTTCTAATTTAGCTTGTGGCACAGCTTTGCGCTTACCGGACAGACAGTTTGTGGGGGGGGCTTCGGGATTCTGTAAAGTGGTGATTCATCGGGTATTTGCAAGTGATTAGGAAGAGTTACAAAACCTAATTATGAATCTGCATTTGGCCTGGTGGCCAATTACTGGGTGTTTACTCAAAAATCCGCACAGCAAAAAGGTCACAGGGTCCTGAAAAATGCACCCAGCTTTCAAAACAGTAGTATGGAGCACTGTGGCTTCACAGGCTACACCGCTGCTCCATCTGCACAAGTGTGCCTGAGGCCGTCTATTCCCCTAACTCGCCGACCAATCAAACTCCTGCCTCCCACGCAGCCTTATGAAACCAACCCAGCCACATTGCACGAGATGGATGCTGAGTTATTATCGAGTGCTGGAAGTGCATCTGTACAGAATCATGTTTGAAAAAGTGGCGATGTTCAAGGCAGAGAGGGAGAGAAAACACTAGAGAAACGCCGTGGCACATACGCCACCCACTCGGGTACCAGAGGAGCTGCATTACTCAATAAATCAGCTTCAGGGAGCAGGAGTCGTTGACGAGCAACTAAAAACAACATTCATGGATGTAACCAAACACACACATACACACGCAGGTTTTCACGTGTCAGAAACACAAACACACAAAGGTCCTGTATATAGCCTCGGATGTTTTTCCACATCACACTTATCTACATTAGCAGCGTAACTGGGCTAAAACCAATTTTTCACACTGATTCAAGCTCTTCTATTTTTATTATTTCCTGCCATGTAGAGATGATGTTCATTAAAATACTGATGTGCTAGAGGTGATTTTCTACAAAAAGGTAATGTCGTGACAGATGCAGAGAGACAAAGAAGAAGGTGAGAACGCTCCCAGGGGAAACGCGCCGACGGCAAGTTTGGTAAAGCGACACTATTTCATTCAGTGTGAATGTCATTGTCTCGTTCACTTACTGCCAGTAAAGGCGATCCAGCGGGCGTATTTGGTGGCCTCTCTGCGCCAGTGTGAAGCCACCAGCAGTCCACAGGTGACAGTGAGGGAGATGATGCCCATGATGATGAAGAAAAGTGTGGTGACCCACTCAGGGGGCAGCCGTGGTGGAATACAGGTCCGGTCTCGTCCGTGGATGGTCTGACATTGCCGGACTAGACCGACTGTAAGGGCACCTGCAGAGAGAGGATGAATGTTGATGAGGTGTCCATACTATCTGGTCTTTTTTAATTCATCACTCACCAAGCACGCACACAGAAACACTGAATACTGGGGTTACCAGCTGATCTATAACAGGGGTCCCAACCTTAATTATCATTAGGTAAATCACACACAAAACGAGGTCAGCAGAGATCAGACCAATGCAAGTACAACGTAACTGCCTCTATAACAGTCTATAACAGCATTATTAACAGAAGGTAAACTGCCAAATTATCTTTTATTTTGACCACTGAAACACAAGTGAAGCAGCTCCGTGTACACAGTATACCGTGGAGACTATACACTCGCTACATAGAAGCCAACGTTTGAGTGAGTGATCCCAATTTGATACATCTTTGACTACTTCTTTGACTTTGAGGGTGACGGTATGCCTAAAGGCTGAATTTAAAAAATAAAATAAAATAAAAAGAGAAAAGTGGAAGTGCCAGTAGAAAAAAATATGAACCCTACAGCAAAAAAGATTAAGGGTCTCGTTGGTGGTCGGTGACAAACTAGTGCCTCAATCGACGACTAAGTGCGAGGAGGGAAAGACCAAAGTGTGGCTCATCTGATGTCAAAGTGAAAGAGGAACCAATGAAGGAGGGTGGGGAGCTGGTCTCGCCACACTGGTGGGCCCAATTATACCAGTGAGTGGCCAACATTTCTTCTTACACTTAATTCACAGCCAAGGAAAGACGGTGAGGACTAAATCAACCCTGCCAATTACTGAATCTATCCCACGCAGGTATGGCACACAGACTGTAAGAAGTTGCAACAATATCAGACAAATTTGCAGCAGCTTTTAATGTTCAATATCTCTGTATTTATTTATTTCTTTTGTAATTTTTATTTAGGATCTACATGAGTTCTTCCTGCAGAAACAACTATTCTTCCTGGGGTCCACACAAAAGACCATGAAGACATTTAAACATCACAAAAAAAAATATATAGGCTAGATATAACTTCAAAATGCCAACTCTTAGAAAACTCTTCTTCCTCCATCTCTAGTAGTCTCTGAACGGGAGTCATGAGATACAAGAGAGCCAAGCTGGAGCCTGACCGTGAAGGCCAGTACTCAGAGTGGGAACATGCTACAGTGGTGCAGCCACTCTGGAGGGACGCCATTTAATTAGAGCACGTCCTCAAGGGGAATTTCTGCCTGAGTAAGCAGAACAGTGTCAGGGTCTCAGGCTATAAACGATAGGTTGTCGGGGAATAGGGGTGTCAGTAGTGCACACTTGGATGATGTGCAGCGGTCTTTTTGGGATGGCAGATGAGCTGTTCCACACCCCATGCTTTGACGCTGTTCAGAGAGACAACAGAACTGTGTGAGAAAAAAAAAAGAAAACAACTGCAGCCACCTCCTTCATTTCACTGATGCCCAGAGCTCCAGACTAACTTTTCCGCTAGTAGCACTGGTGCTCCCAACTTTCTCAGTTGGCCGCATCCCTTTTTTTGGTACAGGTATCAATGATAAGAAGCAGGGAGGGGCTTAGTGTTTAAGATGATGCATCGGTCCCTGCAAGTTTTGAGTTCCTTGCTGTTGTTGTGCAACTTCAAAGTTTCAAGCTAAACTGTGTTGACCTGGTGACAAGTTTAGTGTTGCCTGCAAACCATAAGCTCAAAAGATGAGTATGAGACAAGAGTTCAGAATTTCAGCTCTCATTTCCTGGTATTCACATCTAGATGTGTTAAACAACTCAGGACATACAAACCTTTGTTTGAACCCACCCATTTTTCAAGTGAGCACAACTATTAGAACATGTGACTTGTTGCCCAGGTGTTGCCTTTTAGGGTGATTGTCCAAACATTAAATTGCTCTGCATGAGTTTTCATCCTTGGTTCAAACCTATAAAGACTGCATTTCCTGTTAAAGAGGATAAACCAGCATGAAGACCAGAGAGCTGTCTATGGGAGAAAATAAGGCAAATCGACCAGAGCCATTGGACAATCATTGGGCATAGCAAGCACAACAATTTGCAATGTCCTGAAAAAGAAAGAAACTACTGGTACTGAGCAACAGACGTCGAACAGGTCGGCCAAGGAGTTAGTTGAAGTCAGAAATATCATGAGAGCTGTGAAGAAAACCCCCAAAACATCAGTAAGAAACATCAACAACGACCTCCACAGTGCAGGGGCGAAAGTATCACAATCCACTGTTGGAAGAAGACTCAGAGCAGAAATATGGAGGCCACACCACAAGATGCAAACCACTCATCAGCAGGAAGAATCAGACTGAAATTTGCAAAGAAATACAGAGATGAGCCGCAAATGTTCAGGAACACAATCTTATGGA